AACCTGCTTAACTATACCATACTTGCCACTGTCACTATATTATGCTGCTATTCATACTATCATTATATGAATGTTGCTATTCTGTATATATCGTACTTATTATTGTTTGAGTACTTCGGTTGTTTTATTGTACTTTTTATATTTTATATTTATTATTGCATTTTGCACCAAGGGAGTGGCACTCCAATTTCGTTGTACCTTGTACAATGACAATAAAGGCTATTCGTTATAACGGAAAATCTGTCGCTCGCTCTCCCTCTCTGTCTTTCACTCACACAGACACGCACACCACCACCATCAACTTTGCTAAATTGCTAATGAAAAACATTGATCAGGCAGCTGTGATTGAGCAGCAATGTCCATCCAATTATTTTCACGGTTGTTGTGGTCATGATAATTTTGTGAGGCCACATGGGAAAGGCTCAGATGAGCTTGCCAAAGTTCTACAAGTTGTGCCTCCATCGCTTGTGTCGTGTGCCCCGTCTTTTCACTTTCATTTCTGTGTTTGCGCATGCGCAGTGTGAGAGGCTGCAGTGACACCCTCACGACGCGACAGGATTTCAAGCAGGTTTGATTTTCTTACGACCGAGCGATTGATGATCGGGAGCTGGTCGTGAGGTGTTAATCGCTTCTCGTTACCCTACGTATACTACGCGATGCACGAAATACGATGAAGGCGAAACTCGGGCCGATCCCCAAAACAGTCGCACGACTGAAAAATCGGCTCAAAATGAGCCACAAATCGCACAGTGTAAGCCCAGCATTAATTTCTGACTCACTAAATAATGTGCTGCAGCGTGTGTTTAAGCACAAAACAAGTATTATGTTGTGTCACTAGTGGTATAGGAGGAAGCCAAGTTTAATCCCAAGGTTAACTAACTTATCCTGCTGTGTCTGACAGACCGTCTCTGTAAATACAGTTTGTGCTTAGCATTGTGTTTGTTCTCTGGTAGAGACCTCAAAACGACCAGGAGGAGGAGGAGGAGCAGAAGGGGAAGGAAGTGCTGTTGGTGGTCCTGGACTTTCTAACCCACAGATGTATGATGAGGTTTATTTTGACTCTGACTCAGAGGAGGACGGCACACCGAGTAAGAGAACTGGTTTTCCTGCTCTGGTTACTAACAGTCATTAAGATGTCATTGTCTTACTTCTCGCTATCACCTTTTCTATCCCTTTGAAGAAGTTAGGCTCCATAAATGCTAAAGAGGTAAGTATTATTTCTCAGTTGCAGTGAATAGATAGAAAATAAACTGTAGGAAACTGAACAGAAGAAAAAAGGAGAGAAATAACAATTTAACATAAACCAGTGACACACTCCAGGGCCTGATCAACCCTGGCAGGGCCTCCTTGGATGAGGGTGTCTAGTGATAATGGCCGAAACACCTGATGAATCCAAGGTCCACTACTGATGATGTGTCCCAAATTTAAAATGATAATCTAGATCGATCTCTAATCCCTAAACCTAACCAAGGAAGGAAAATGGCAGATTAGCCTGGGTAAAAGACCGAAAGTTGAGGCACACAACGATGCGTGCTGCTGGCAAAGTTTCTAGGCTGCCTTTTCCTCATAACAGCCATCCCTCGAGAGTCTCTTCATGTAAAGCAATGCATTATCAGGGACTGTAACATCCAGTCCTTTTAACTGAATCATGATGACAGAATACATGTACAACCTGCCACTAACAGTATTTAAAATTTCTTCTGTAGGCAGCTCAACAAGCCAGAGGCAGAGACAGCGGACCATTCCGACCAATGACGAGCTGCTGTACGACCCCGACGAGGACGACAGAGACCAGGCCTGGGTTGACGCCAGGAGGAGAGAGTAACACAAATTCTCTTACAATTTCTAAAACACATGCCACCAGATGTTTTTGCTTCTTTTATTTATTTATTTTTAATTTCCCTCCAGAGACTCATTCCACCTCTTACCTTCCTGTGTAGGTACAGCAGAAGAAAACGACCTGCTGCAGCTTTTCACTCAAAGCTTCGCCACCCTCAAGCTTTGCCTCACAGCGACGCTGTGCTTAACTGTCCCGCCTGCATGACGACGCTCTGCCTGGACTGTCAGAGGTGAGGCTCCACAGCAGGTTTCAAAACAGTGCAGATCCCTATCTTTACCTAGCAGCAGATTAAGGTGTCAGCCTAATGTTAACTGAGATCAGAGAGCTGCTCGCCTCTACAGAAGTTTGACATCCACAAAATCTGACTGATGATGGAGTAGTGTTACATATACCATCTCTGATAGTGGCCAAGTTTCTTTTTTACTACACTAAAACGTGCTTCATGTCCTACACAGTGGAGTTTCAGTCCAGCAGAGGGAAAATTGCTAGAACTTAATAATACTGACATTTTAGGAAAAGTCTTTGAAAAGCGTTTGTATTAATCCTTGTTTATGCACAGCGTGCCAAAGTATCACATGCAATATATTTTAGGAGAGCTGAGGTCACTTGTTGTGATTGAGAACAACATCATGTTGTATTCAGTATGCTCACCGTGTGCCCCAAAGCACGGCAGTGTGCACTGAAAATAATCTTGCATCAGTTCGCACACACTGCTGTTTGTTTTTTTTAAAGAAAGATTTGAAGTGATTGTAAGAGAAACGTTCATTAGTTTGTAGAGATTTTGTCATTTTAAAATGTAACGACACATCACTCTTGTGTCCGTTCAGGCACGAGAAGTACCGCACGCAGTATCGAGCAATGTTTGTGATGAACTGCACAGTCAAGAGAGAGGAGGTGCTGCGTTACAAAAACCAGCAGGAGAAGAACCGGAGGAACAGGAAGAGGAGGAGGGGACAGCAGACAGAGACGCCTGCGGATGAGAGTCCAGCAGCGATGGGGATGGATGCTGATGAGGTGTACCACCCGGTGCAGTGCTCTGAGTGCTCCACTGAGGTGGCCGTGTTCGATAAAGATGAGGTTTACCACTTCTTCAACATCCTGGCCAGCCACTGCTGACAAGGACTGAACGAGGTCTGAGCTGGACTTTGTCTCTTAACTTCACACCTCGTGGCTCAGATCTTTGTCTTTATATCCAAAATGCTCACCAAAGCAAAGCTAAAGGGGAGTGAACACTGGACGTGTGCTCATCACTTTAAGTTAACGCTGTTATTGTTCTGTATTTGCAGGATGTGTAAATGTCCATCTTCTTTTTTCTTTTTCTTTTTTTTTTTGCAAATAAGATCATGGTGCCAGTGATAACCTGTCAGTGTTGTGTTTCCAGCAGTTACAACAGTTTTGACAGCTTTTTTTGCTTCAGCGTCACGGCTGAGATGGCAAGTCAGTCTGTGATCAGTCGCCTGATCATGTTTGTCATACACATTTTGAACACATTGTTCAACAGGTAACAAAAATGAAATCCTTTTCAGGATTAGAAAAAATGTACCACCTCATGTCTGTAAAACTTTAAGTGCTGTGCCTGAACACAACCTTTTGCCGTTGACTCCGGTGTTCTTGTGTCTTGTCTTACTGCGTGTGTAATTTGGAGAGCAAAAATGTTGGGAGTAATTTAAATCGGTCACACAAATCTGATTTATTAAGGTACAGATCAGCAAAATGCAGCTCTCCTCTGGATGAATCATACACTTCACCTCCTCCCACTTGATTACACAAATTCCTCATCAATTTCTGACAGGACAGTTTGGCCCTATATTAAAACATATTGATTTTCCTTTAGCTTCCCCTCATTAATCTGAATTACAATGCTGTTTATATTAACAAGAGCATCATCAAACCTGTGCTTTGTTTTATTAGATTTTTTGTTATTTTATTAGCAGAATACTTCGACACTCATAGTGTCTGCTTGTTTTCAACCAATTTGCACCGCTATAGTTTGAATGCTGGTCATTATTGTGCATTGTTAGTAGAGCAGCCACAGAACTTTCTACGACTATCAGTGTATTTTTGCAATTTTGCCATCATCCTAATTTGGCCTGTGTAATTGGCCATAAATAATATAGACTAAATCACACTGACACTGAAAAACTTCTAAAAGTTTTACATTTGCTGCTGTTTTTATTTTTTAAAATGCAAAAAATACAGTTTTCTGAAACTTTTGAAAGGCTACATCATTTTCCTTGACAAATAATCTCATCTGAGATGGGTAATTTTCAGCATATGCATGCTTATGGCTTCGGTAAGTAAATGTTCTGATGTCCATCAGAATTGTAGGAATAGAGACAGTGCTTTGTCTGCCTCACATGTACACAGTTGGTATAGTTTCCTGACATTTAATTGGTAGTTAACTGATTTCATAAATATCTGTACTTCTTAAGGAAATGTGTTTCAAACTGGGGAGTATAGCATTTTGTTGGGGAATCTATTCAGCCATGGAATGATCCACATTTAGTGTTTTAGTGAGTGTTTGGGCCAGTAGAGTGCTTTGGTTTGGGGGGTGACTCAAAATCTGTTTTAAAGAACCAAGATATTTGATGCTTAATGGAAAGAAAATACACTAAGATCGGCACCCGGTTAAGGCAAAGCAAGATAAACAAGCAAATAAAAATAGAGCTGCTGTTCTGAAACACATCTTTGATGTGGTGTTGAAAGTTACTTTTGACTCTTATTTTGAAATTAGGAAGGTGGAACACCCTGGTCTGCGTCACAATCATACGGTTGAACGCGGAGTTGTGATTTGCCGGAAACCAGCGCCTCGCGATTAAACCTTACGTGAGCACAAAACACCTCACCACGAAACATAAAGAGGATAAGAGCCGCGAGGAAAGAACAAAGTTGATTTTAAAAGTTGGACCATGGCACTTGGAGAGTGTTGGAAGCAGTTATCCTGGTTTTACTACCAGTATCTTCTGGTGACAGCCTTGTACATGCTGGAGCCCTGGGAGAGGACGGTGTTCAGTATCCTTTTTCCGTGTTGAAGTGGCTTCTGAAGGGATGTACTACCGAGCTAATTTGCTACCTTTAGCCGAACGCTAGCCTGACTGGCCTAGATCTTTCACTGATAGCGCTAACTTTGGGTAAAAGTAAACATAGCTTCAGTTGTTTGTATAAACCATTTACAGCATTTTAACACATGAGCGGTGATTTATGGCAAATGCGGCATATAGACCGAGTCGGCCCTTGTTATCGTTGAAAGCTAAAGAGTTCACAGCTTAGTCAATTCTGAATTGAACACTCATCCGCCACATTGTAGAGGCGGCTCTAAATGTTATTCTACAAGTTATGTGTTTTAATCTGTAATTGATTTGTGTATAAACGGATGAAAACTGGAGCGATGTGTGCGTAAACCGCTTCCTAGTTCATAACCTAGTTGACATAAAGAAACGTGTTTGTAATGACAGAGTTGAGTAAAGCGTCAAATTCCTTTCATTGATACATTAAAGAATGTTTCACACTTTGTTGTAGTGCTGTGTACTTTGCCTTTCAAGTCCAGCGTGTGTGCGGTTAGTTTACTCTTTGGGCGGCATCAAAGCTAAGCTAGCTTCAGCTACTTTAAGAGAGTCGGTCAGGTGATTGTCGCGTGAAGTACATACACGTTACGTATGACCTTTGTTTGCGTTTTTTAAAAGCATAAAATTAAAACAATGTTAACTGAGCGAAGTTAATAATTAGAGTGTACCCCTTGTTGATGGTTTTATAACTGTACTTTGATCTGTGGCAGTGCAGGAAGTCATCAGTATCACGTCCTGTGCATGATGGCGTCACTGTCGGGGTGTATCTCGTCTCCCTCCGAGGGTCAGGTGTGTGACTGTGTCTTCCTGATCGTTATCGGCCTGCATCTCATCAAATAACTTAACGCAGTCGCTCAGGGATCACACTGGTTATTTTATTGTTGATCTACAGGAAGCAGATTATAGCTATGATGAACTTAACTTCCAGTGGCTGATGAGACTTTTGTAGGTTTTGTAAGTATTTAAGGGTTTGGGTTTTTTCCTGTCTCTTTTCCTATCGGGAATGGCAAGTGAATAAGCGTTAGAAAATGTCAGTGACTGACAAAACTTCTTGGTTGACAAATCTGTTAGGAAATATCTGGTCACTTGATGGAGGTCACAGCTCTCTACAGAGCTGTACACCTTCTAAGGTTATTTTCATTGCAAAACATCCTGTCACAAGTTTAAAATCTGTTTAGTACAACATTTACAGCTAAATGGAGCAAAAATAAACACTGAAGTTCCTCCACCTAAAGTTTCCTGGTACTGTAAATGATCTTTTTGAGTCATAAGTTAAAAATGTATATTCATCATGTAAGATGATAAAAAGCAGCAGTTTCTGTCCTTGAAGAACCAGGAGCTTTCAGATGTGTGTGTGATGCGGTTGCTAATTTTTTCTTGTAAGCACAGTAATTTTGTCAGGCAAGACAACAGTGTCACGTATGCCCACTGGAAGATGCTGCCTGTGGAAAGCAGCAAGTATAAGAGCTGCAGAGCCTTCTGCAACTTGCCTTTTTGTGTAGTGGTGATCTTATATGATAGCTATCAGCAAGGACATTCAACAATGAAAATGTCTATTGGACCATGCTTTGAGCAAAATGATGGCAACAGTCTGCTTTCCTGTTTACATTAGCAAGCGTGTAAACATGCTTTACGCTCAATAGTGTGATTTTGAGAGCATTATTGTGGCTATCTCTGTACATAGTTTTAAAGTTATTTCAAATATTTTTTCCTCCCTGCTTTCTGGAATGTAAATCCTGCCGAACGAGTTTGAAATTCTTTCCAGTTGCTAGAAGATTTATCACTAAAGTTTGACTTGCCTTACTGAAATTATGAGACTTTGCGTCTACACTTTAGCCACAGCTGTTATATAAGCCAGTTAACATTTTGCAGGGCTTGTATTGATATCTTTTCTATTCACAAACCAGGAAAAGAGGTCACTGACTGTTTGGTGGCCAAACATTTGCATGCAGGTGTAACTGGCTGCCAGCCTGTATCCATTAGCAGGCAGTGTTTGTTGGATGTAAATCACATTACCAGCTACTGATTGTTGAAGGCGCATCAGTTAGTTTGTTTGTGGTTCCCTGCAGTAAAACTTGAATGTCTTCAGAAATTCCTCCTTAACGTCTCTTCTTCAGACTCCCTGCTGATCTCTGTGGCTGGTATGGCCATATACACCGGCTATGTGTTCATGCCACAGCACATCATGGCCATCTTGCACTACTTTGAAGTCATCCAGTGATCCAGGGATCCGGATCGTCGTGTATGTCTGTGGCTTCCTGTCATTCCATCTGCCTACTCCCCATTCACCTGTCTTTCTGCTGTCCTCTGGGGTTCTGCAGCAGAAATTTTCTCCTTTCCAAGACTGATCCAGTATCAACAGTCAAGTATCTGGCTGGGAGGGTCATGCCAGATACTTTGTTGGACACTGTAGGCAAAGAAACAGTCCTCACGACTGTTTCTTTGCTACTGACGTTCAGATTGTGAGCAGTGCTGGGCTTGGAGGCAAAGCCTTGAAAAGGGGTGTGCTTGGTGTTGATTCACATTAGGTTGTTCTTTGTGCTGTGCTTTTTTTCTTCTTCTTTTTTTCCCCCTCTCTCTTCTGGATCAATTATGCCTTAATGTGTGTACGTTAAGAGGACTATTTTGTTAATTTCATTGATACACTAAAACAGTTGTTGTCTTAGTTACATTCAGAGATGGGACACACTGGACGATGAACAGAATACATAGAATAAAAAATACACCATTTTTTGAGCAGGACTGGATCCGGAGGGCACCTGATTCTCAATCCAGGCTGTCAAGTTGTTGCTCTTAGGAACTGAAACTCTTTTCCACCGTAACTATTTCCCATCACTTTTATGCTATGGTTTGTACATACGGGCACTGTAACTGTTGATCGTGTGCATCATCAGGCGGTTCAGTCAAAAGGTTAATCCTTTTACAATATAAAGGTCAAAGGCATGACTTAAACTGCTGAGTAACTTTCAGTGACTTCCTCTCAAATCAAATGCACTTGCAGTGAGTTAAATGAGTGGTTTATTCTCCACGTTGGAGGCGCACATCTGTAAAAAATGCTTTTGTTTCTACTTCCACCACTACAATAAGGACCTTCATCCTTATCCCATTAGTCCAAGCTGGGTCAGAATGTGAGTGTGATGAAGCAGTCTGGGCATTTTAGAGAATCTTGGTCTAAAACACCCGCCCATTTTAAAGGATTTGTTGCCCACCTGAAGGTCTTGAGTGGACATGAGTTGACTCAATTTGCCGTCTTCCAAATTTGGTTAGTCCCCATAAATTATTTCAGTATTCTTCAGTGGTCTCTTCTCCCTTCCACACACTTTGTCATTTTTTAAGTGGCACTGTAATCACTTAAAATTCCAGGGATCAAATAAATAGTCATGACAGTGTGAACTTGCTGCAACAAAGCTGGGTTTGACACATCCTCCTTTTTTTTAACTTTACACTCCAGCCCTTATTGCTGTAAGCCAAATTAACACGGTCTGATTTTGGGCACAGCAGTTCTGCCTGCACTAAGTACTACTGCAGAATACAC